AAAAAAATGATGAGAAGGATACCACGATGGAGAAAAGAATGAAAATGCAGAAGACATTACAGTTGAAAATATGATACAAATTATGTAAAATCGAAAATTAAATTTAGGACCACGCTACACTACTAGGCCGTTTACAGGCCTGGTAGTGCAGCTCTCTCACATTTGGGGGTGGGGGTGGAGGCGGGGGTTGGTTTTTTTAACATGAGGGACCCTCCCGAGGTGAGAGAAATGAGAGGGGAGGACCTTTACCAGGTCTGGTAGAGGAGCATTATCCTTAAATTTATTAATGAACCGGTTTAATCGCCGTAGACTTGGTCAATTCAACTTGCTCTTTACAACTATACCTTCATCAAGAATGTGTTGTTAAGTTTACCAAAAGTATAATGAAGGTAAAAGAAGGGTCAAACTCGCACGTCACTCACCAACCAGCAGAAGAATTGGTCTTGCCTTGCTGCAAAAAGTATATTATTTGCAATTCGGCCCTTTCGTATCTTTCCTTGCATATCTAAACGACTGTTTCGACCAAGTTAAGAAAACTTGCGCAATGGTGGTTTAACCAATTTCCATAAAACAAAATTTTAAGAGTTTTCATTTATTCAACAAACAATATAATTTCTTTTTATTTATCTATATCGTTCAACCATAACTTTCTATATATTCATCAACCAAAATGATGCAACAAGAAGGCCAGAGGGATCAAGTCTTGTCAAATATAGAAATCGAAAGTAAACCATGAGAAATGACAGAACATCTCTATTCAAGAAGGATGTATGGATCGTTTATTTATAAATAAATAGAAACAAGTGACAATATTTTTAAATAAGAAATCCCAACAAGTGCCACTGCATGAAATCTATATAATTCATGTAACATTGGGATAAATCTATTCATATGTTCAGAATCCAAACGCAATTGATTCCGCCAGCTTTACATGAATTAATAATTATTACAGTAAACTTTGTTTTACTACAATCATAGAATAATTTAAGAAAGTAGTAACGTAGTAATATTTTCCTTTTGTAGAAAAAAAGAAAAACAAAAACTGTGGACCATATTCACAGACATTACACGTTATTGCCCACAAGTTTGATAGCATCAAATACATATGTGTACCAACTATTCTTGCCTTTCCCTCTCAACAAAGGAAAAGCAAAACGCAGTTTTAAAAAAATTAATTAAAAAGGAGGAGTTTACACAGATAATTTGACAGTATTGAAATTGAATTAATAACAGAGGCAAATAATTAACAGAAAATGGACTATTCTTGTGCCCTTGAAGGACAGTCCCATGGTGTCATATCCATTGGATAGCTCCCAAGAACCCTTAAGAAAGACGTGAACTCTTGAACCTCTGCAAGGGCGTTCTGGGCACGTACTTCCGCCATTGATGCTTCGAAATCAATGTAAAACATGTACTCAAAGTGCTTTGCCGTCCCTACATTTGCATCGTCGACTAGCCGGATCGGCCGATTCCGGTGAGGGCGGGACTCGATCTTCGTTAAGCTGATGTTACGGAAAGCAAAGGCTGAGAGGACTTTGAAGAGGACGCTGGTACCCTTGTCGTGAGCGAACACGATGCTAGTTTTGAATGGCCGATCTGTTCTAGGGATTATGGGTTCGCGGGCTAACATGACAAACCGGGTGACATTGCCGGAATCGTCTTGGATCCCATCGGCAAGGATTTGGAGGCCATAGAGTTCGGCGGCGCGTGCGGAGGCAATTGCGGCTGTGTCTCGGAGGTTGTTCATGGCGATGTATTCAGCTGCACCGGCTGTGTCATCAACGGCTTCACGGGCGACGTTGAGGCCCATTTTGGTTAAAGTGTGTTCGCATTGGGAGAGTGCTTGCGGGTGGCTGATAACGCGGGTGAGATACTCCTTGCGGACGCCGGGAAGGGCGAGGAGGCAGTGGTGAACTGGGAGCTGAACTTCGCCGACTATGTGGAGACGGTGGCGAAGGAGGAGGTCGTAATTTCGGTGGATGGAACCACCAAGGGAGTTTTCGACAGGGAGCACTGCTCTATCGGCGATCCAAAGCTCAACGGCTTGAAATGCAACTTCAAATTGGTCACAAGGTATGGCTTCACAATTAGGATAAGCTTTCCCGGCTGCGGCTTCGCTATAAGCTCCAGGTACCCCCTGGTAAGCAACACGGAGTAGAGATCCGTGCATCGGCGCCGGCGAGAGATCGGCTATGCTGAGTGGCTTAGGGAGAGCAGCCGGCGATTTAGCTTCCTTGACGGGCACAAGGTCAAGCGTTGGGTGGCCGTTCACGGCGGTCATTCCATCGGCGATACCACCGTTTTTCTCTTTGTCTGGCTGCTGCGAAACCACCTTGCTGGCAAGAATGGCACAGGAACTCTGCCACTCATATCGGGCCCCACCGACGTGTCCGCCGGAGGCTGCACTCGCGTTGGCATTCACGTTCGCTGAGTCAAACCTCGAGATGCATTGGATAAGAACTCGGCTCGGGCCAAATCGGTGGTGGTTCATCCCGAGTCCAGGCGGCGACGCCGTCCTCATTAAGGACTTAAGATCTATATTTGATGGTGTTATGGATTGCATGTTTTTAATGGAAGGGTTCCAGATGGAATTAATATGATCGATAAGGATTACAATGGAATAAGAAATAAAAAGGAAGATTTTTCCAAGCTTGTAGTTCTCCCTTAAAAGAGAAATTCCAAGCTGGGGATGAAATGAAAGAGAGGTGGGTTTTTATATAGGGAAGAGTGTGGATATCAAGTTGGTTTGGTCAAATCTCACACCTACCCCTAAATTTCTTCAATTTTCTCTCAAATATTTTCTATCTTACCACAAAAAGAAAAAGGGGGAGAAATAAAAAATACATATATGTAATTACGTGTACACAATAATTCAATTTAATTCAAATTATAGATACGAGTCGATTGATAAGACCGGTTACTCTGGAACTCGAGGCTTCTATCGTGTCTTTTTGAGGAACCACAACCAATTATTTGAAATGGTTTCTCAATATAGATTTTATTTCGTTGTCGACCTTTATGGTTCACACTCAATAATCTCGAGACAACACCAACTGTTTATAGGGATTCTCTGACTTGAGTGTTGGAGCCTAGAGGGTATATATCGTCGCACTTTGAAGCCTTTCTTTTTAGATTTTAAAAAAAAAAAAAAAAAAAAAAAGAAAAAAAAA